AGAGAGAGAGAGAGAGAGAGAGAGAGAGAGAGAGAGAGAGAGAGAGTGTGAGGAAGAATAAGTGGCTTGATGGTTTAAAGTAACTAGTGTTAAGGTGATGTTAGGCAGAACCATGCTTATTTCGATTTGTGGACCAAAACTGAAAAATTAAGCAGAAACATGGAATCGGTTGGTTTGGTTTAATTGATTTGGTGGTTTTTCGGTTTAAAATTCAACCCCTAAATATAAGTGGTTCGAGATCCACAACATAAGCAACGGAGTAAAAACCTGAAAATCTAGATTTGAATAAATTTAATTTCAGCATAGTGGAAAACAAACAAGAGCTTAAGATTATGATGGAAATTGACACGAAATGTGCAACTTGGCAACCTTTTTTGGGAGAGGTCCCCGCATATGCGCCCGACAGTACTTCAGAGGATTAGGCATGGGCCATGCCTGGGGATACCTCGGAAAACCAAAAAAGTAATGATAATGCATGTTAATGGAGTTGCAAACGCTCCAAAGTCAAAAAGATTATTACCAGGCAGGCTCCACTTGGGATATATATACATATATATGAGGAATTGAAATTAGAAAGAGACTTGGACAAAGTTTATGATATTACTTGATGTGGACTAAACACAATGTCATATTTCTTAATCATAGACAGCCGTTACATTACAAAGTGTTAACCTCGAATTACTTTAATTAATTCATACATATCGTATTCAAGCAGCACCAGTTGCCGCATGCTACAAGAGACCTTTTCCTACAAAATCAAACCCAAAGTTGGCCAAGTACCAGAGGATATAAAAAAACGCAAACGTTACTCTCTACATCGCTTTCGACTTCGATATATATATGGTTTCAATTCTTTTTATATCACTTTACCTTAAAATTTCAGAGATGCCTCCTTAGTCATGCGAGACAAAAGGAAATATAAAATAAAAAACCTCAAACGTTATCGATTCTTTCTGAGTCTGACCAACAAAACAAAAAAAAACACGTAGTAGGGAAATTAAGATAAGCACGAAGTGACATTGACACACGTGTGCGATACGTTTAGTAGCCAAGTGCAGCGAACCGTCGCCGTGTGTTTTGTCGTTTTGCTTTTCGTGTGAAGGGATCAAATTTAAACGGTTGTTATTCTCATCTTCTTCCAGCTGTTTTTTCTTTCCTTTCGTTATCTTCTTCTCTGCTACTTTTTTTGTTTATGAAATGGAAAACCAAATGATGAAAAATAAAAGGAAAAGCTGTTACCAACTTTATTGCCATTGATGACACACTGCAAAGGGACCCAGACTTGTCAGAATTAACATCCATGCCCCTCCATATCATAAAATTTTTCGTACGAACCAGATTAATTTTAGATGTTTGCTTTTAGGTGAAGCATGGATGAACCTGGATGAGTATGGAAGCCAGGTTCGAGTGAATTACTGGCGATTCTGGAAAACCTTGCTGTTGGTTTGTTTTGTATGTATTATGCATTTGAATTTGGTCTTCATGTTGGGTTTGGTTCACAATGCTTGTTATTTTGTGGCTGCGCAAACATGTGTTGCTGCTGCTAAGTTAAGACTCAAACATGGGAAAAGTAATTCAACTCCTTATAAATTCATACTGGATCTCTTAACTTTTTAATATAGGACAAACAGTCGTTTATTATAATGAACTGATGAACAAGGAGTTCCACAAAAATATGAGAGAGAGATAGAGAGAGATGTTGGTGGTTGGCAACAACATGGGGCACGTAGTTAGATGTTCAAAGTACAAATATTTTTAAACAAAATTAAACCATCGATTTTATGTGTGACAAGATCAGTACTTAAATAATTTGCTTCCATCTCGCAAAGCCATCGTCCAATCATCTACTTTATACGTGTTACGTGATATAATAACAATATAAGTTAATTTATTTCCTTCTATAGCATAAACTATATATATGGTAATTGTAAAGTAGCTGCAACTTGCAAGGAAGAGGAGTAGGAAATTCAAGATCTTTGTTTGATACCATGATACGATTGGGTGCAACGCCAAGATCACAGCTTGGCTTAATAAATAAATAAAACCCGAGCATGAAATATTAGATTCCTATTGCATGACTTCATCTTTAAAGCATATTAGATTAAACAAGAAAACAAATAATATATGAATCTTGGATCATGCAATAGCACTCAATTTGTAATCATATATTTCCATGCAAGAGGGGAAATAAAAAAACAATATAGAGAGAGAGAAGAAGGAAAAGAAAAGAAGGTAGAAATAAAACAATCATTTTCATTGTTGTTTTAACCAAATGCTAGCAATGTGCAATCAATTTATTTCGTTTTTGTCCCTGCATTTAACAGAAAAGATAATAAAATTGATGGTAGGACCATTTGTCCTAATGAAAGTGAAGTTGAAGGATCACTGAAACAATTTTGAAAATTGAAGGACCAAAATATAAATTGGGTCAAAATTTAAGGACTAATAGACCTGAAAACCTTAAAATATATATTAACAGAGACCTGTAAGCGGTGAAACGAAAAAGAGAAAACAAAATATAAATATCAAGTGATCCTTTATTGAAGAATGTTGACATTTTCATGACATCTTTGTCCCCGTCTGCATTATTAAACTTTACTAGTACTGAGTTATGTTGAACCCCCAAATGATGTCGGCTACATAGCTAGCAATGCAAGCATGAGGGGAGGCATATGCATGAAAAAGATTCGCATTGATCAGGTTGGTCATCCAATGAGCTTAATCCAAATTACTAAAGATAATGTAAGGCACTTATAACTTAATTGGTTAACAGTATTTATATATGCACTTGATATTCTAAGTTCAATTCCCCCTTTCTTTATTAAAGATAACTCGACTCATGAGATTGTATGAAGATAGTATGACTCAAAGATTCTTGATTTTTTTGGGGAAAAAATTTATAATCGCTCCATAGAGAAACAAAACTAATTAAAGGATTTGAAGATATGACTTCCCTACTAAATGTTTTTGTCCATTTGAAGCAGACACTTAAAAAGAAACGCTTGTGATGATCATCTAGAAACGCTTTCTCAGTGTAAACTTTTCCAGTATACTTTCTTCTTGTTTATTAATATTAATTTTTCCTAGGGGATGAAAAAAGCATCATGGTGAAGAATATGCTTACCACGCATTGCCCTCTACGTGTAAATAAATACGTTTTCTTTTTTTTCTTGAACAAACAGACACACAAACCTCTGAGAAGATACTAGGCGTACCACATGTTTAGCTTTGCCCCGTTTACAATATTTACAAGTTGACCCGAGAAAAGACAATAATAGAGAAATACTCTAGGCCTATATGATTCAGTACTTCTGTGTTGTTGTGTCATTTACTTCTCTACTTCTCTCTCTCTCTCTTAACAACCACCTTCATCATCTGAAATACCACAAACAAAACTCAACAGCCAATTAGAGGCAGAGAGAGAGAGAATGCCACTCTCTTACTGTGTAGCTGAGAACAAACCCTGTGTTCGTTGGGTGGAGGAATATTTCAAGGATTGCCTTTGCAATCTCAACGACGACATCTCCTTTGCTTTTGGGCTGGTCAGCTTAGTCTGTTGGGGAGTCGCTGAAATCCCTCAAATCATCACCAACTTTCACACCAAGTCCAGCCATGGAGTCTCTCTTGCTTTCCTCCTCACTTGGGTTGCCGGGTTCGTTTCCCTTACCAACTAGCTCTTCGTTTAATAGTAACCCAATTTCGAATCTCTACTTTAGTTACTTTTTTTTAATTTTCTTTCTTCTTCTTCTGTGTCTTTTGGGTTCATGTAGGGATGTGTTTAATCTAATGGGTTGTCTTCTGGAACCAGCAACGGTGAGTTAAATCATACTGCCATAGTTTCTTTTTGTTTGTTAGCCCGGTGGTCCAGAGAAGCATCAGAGTGTGTGGTTGGCTCTGGTTAAACCACTATCTTTATATTTCTATGAGCATGGCTGGTCTCCATCTTATATATATTGTCAGAATTTTTCTTTTTTTCCAGCCAACTTTCTCAGTGTTCTAATCTTTTGCCATTTTTGGATGCAGTTGCCTACCCAGTTGTACACAGCTCTGGTAATTGAACCTGTTTAATTTTGGGTTATGTTTCTATCTTGCACCACAATGGAATAAAATATTTATAAACACTAGCTAGTTCTCTTTGTAATTGCATCCTGTTACAAGAAATGATAGCACTACAATATATGACACTTTAAACTACTGCAAGAGTAATTATAGTGTAGTACGGTAACGTGATATAACTTGTTTATGCGTTATAATACGAATGGACGATATGATTAATATTATTTATCCCTTTTAAGAAATAACATCAACAAATATCCACTTATATTATAACGAACAATAGAACCTATATTTGTTTTGTTTGGTAACTTTGTCCGGAATCTGCCCGTCAATTAGGAGAGTGACTAGGCATGAAGATAGGGTCATTAAGTAATCACTTTAATTAATGTAATTTTATGATTAATTAATCACTTTAGTTACTTTAATTTTATGATTAATTTATCATCACGTTTTTATTGGGTCCTTGTTGTCTATATAAACAGCTCTACACAACAAGCACTATTGTATTAGTGTTGCAGAGCGTGTACTATGACTACATCTATACATGGTGTACATGTGGAAAAGTCACAGCTACCCAAGAGGTACAAACTTTCATTTTCTTCAATCTATGAATTATTTAGAGAATAATTAATTGTTATTATATGTGTAATTAAGAGTAAACTAGCTAGATAATACGTGAGGCTAATTAGTGATCAATTTAATATATATATATATATGCATGTTTTACCCCAACTTGTATAGGTTAAAAAAACCCTATATAAAATGGATATTAGAAACACACCCAAAATCCATTTACAATAAAACAAAAAGGCTTTTAACTTCTTTTAAATTACAAAACTGCCATTGATTTCTTAAAATAAACTCAACCCCAAAACCTTATAAAAAATAATCAAAATTAAATTTAATGGGACTAACTGTCATTTTTTGGGTTTGTTTATAGAAATTAAATGATGTAGAGTTTATCTATATTATTAGTGCTCAGAATGGGTATATGACTAAATATCTCAATATTTCTAGTGTATAATAATCTGGACTTGTAACAACAGCCATTGCAGTAATTTTATAACTTATACTTTTATATACGCAGGGCTTGAATCCTCTAATGTTCGTCTTTGCACTAGTCGCAAACGTCACTTATGTCGGAAGGTTACAAAAATCTCTCTACTTCACCGTCTTTCGATCTATTTGTGCTGTTGAATGTTTGTCTAGCTTGGTCCAATTTTCTCAGGCTTCTTATTAATTTGTTTGAATATTGCAGCATACTTGTAAGAACCACAGAATGGGACAGCATCAAAGCCAATATGCCATGGCTGCTCGATGCAGTAGTTTGCGTGGGACTCGACTTATTTGTATCCTTTTTCTTACTAGGTTTACCGATCACTTTGTGTGAGATTGTCGTCAATAATGTGATTAGTAAATATGATATAAGATTTTAACGTTACGCCTTAATGAACATAACAACAGATAATATTGCAGTACATATATTACAAACATTTGAGGAAGAGGACCACAAGAGGTGAAGAAAACTACACATACTACAAGGAAGCAAACAAAGTTGTGGTTTCTTGAATGCGCATTGCAAGGATGCATGTATGCTGCTGCAAAATCAAAATCAAGAGACCCCAATATTGACCTTGTGTATCTCCTTTTGCTATTATTAATGCTCAGGCTTGCTCTCGTCTTGTTCGAGTCGAATGATCGTAATTTTTTTTTAGAATTTTTTTTTTTGTTTATCTCTTTTTGGTTTGTGTTTTTGATGAACTCATAAGTTAGGTATAGTGAGAAGTACTGAGAGCCATTAGTCAATGTCAAGGTGTGGATTATATATATGTGGCTGTGGTCTTAGATTGATGATTGTCTTTCTCTTTCCCGTGGAAAATCCATTTCCATCACCTTTTTTTTCTTCTTTTTCCAAGGTGATCTTATAAGAGATTTGACAAAGGGAAAGCTATAGTACTTCTAAAATGTTTGGTGGGGGTGCTACCAATGGAAGTTTATATTTGTGCTGGTTCAACTTTATATCCGATTTGCCGGAAAATATATACTTTATATCCTTTTTTGGTTTTGTCCATTTGGATAGTTGGAATTGATTAGGCAGATGTACATTAATTTCTCTTGTGTAATCTTATATGTACTGGAAAGACAATTGAACTTCTTATCATGCGCTAGTTGATTAGTCCCATTAAGCACGTTGGAGCTTTACCATAATTAATGATCATTCATATCGGCCAAATAAATCAAATTCAAAGTTGTGGATTCAAGATTTAAAAGTTAGTTGGTCAAAACTTAATTACATATACTAAATTTGATGATACGGGTGAATTTAATTAATAAATATATTTTAAAAAATACAAGTGTATAGAGTCAGGGGGACATAATGAATGATCCTTACCCCTCAAATGCATCTCTATATAAATAAAAGCTTAACAAAAACCACAAGTACAAAATAACACTATTCAAATATCAATTGTAACCCACAAAACCATCAAATTCAACAAAATTCTTAAAATCAAAGCCCTAATATGCCATTTTTGGATGCAGTTGCCGACCCAGTTGTACACAGCTCTGGTAATTGCACCTGTCCAATTTTGGGTTATGTTTCTATCTATGTTGCAGCACAATGGATTAAAATATTTATAAACACTAGCTAGTTCTCTTTGTAATTACATCCTGTTACAAGAAATGATAGCACTACAATACATGACACTTTAAACTACTGTAAGAGTAATTATAGTGTAGTACGGTCACGTGATATAACTTGTTTATGCTTTATAATATGAGTGGACGACATGATTAATATTATTTATCCCTTTTAGGAAATAACATCAAAAAATATCCACTTATATTATAACGCGTGGACAATAGAACCTATATTTGTTTTGTTTGGTAACTTTGTCCGGAATCTGCCCGTCAATTAGGAGAGTGACTAGGCATGAAGATAGGGTCATTAAGTAATCACTTTAATTAATGTAATTTTATGATTAATTAATCACTTTAGTTACTTTAATTTTATGATTAATTTATCATCACGTTTTTATTGGGTCCTTGTTGTCTATATAAACAGCTCTACACAACAAGCACTATTGTATTAGTGTTGCAGAGCGTGTACTATGACTACATCTATACATGGTGTACATGTGGAAAAGTCACAGCTACCCAAGAGGTACAAACTTTCATTTTCTTCAATCTATGAATTATTTAGAGAATAATTAATTGTTATTATATGTGTAATTAAGAGTAAACTAGCTAGATAATACGTGAGGCTAATTAGTGATCAATTTAATATATATATATATATGCATGTTTTACCCCAACTTGTATAGGTTGATGAAGAGAATAAAAGACCATTGAATCCAAAGTTGGCTGATTCAGGCATTCCAATACCAAGTGCTTCACCCAAACCCACTCCACGAAAAGAGTTCTACTATACGTACGTACTCCTTCTTCTCCTACAACTGCTACGTACTTTTTTCATATTAATTTATTATGACAAATCATCTTAACTTTGTCAATAATGTGATTAGTAAATATGATATAAGATTTTAACGTTACGCCTTAATGAACATAACAACAGATAATATTGCAGTACATATATTACAAACATTTGAGGAAGAGGACCACAAGAGGTGAAGAAAACTACACATACTACAAGGAAGCAAACAAAGTTGTGGTTTCTTGAATGCGCACCTACATGAGGGCAGCTAGAAGTGGTCCTTCTACAATGGCAGTATATAGCGACTCATCTTCTGAGGACGAGTCAGCTCCAGTCACATCCAAGACATCTGTTACCCAGCCTAGGCCAATCCCAAGATCGGTGAGCCTTAACAACTACTAAACTTTGATCACCTTTTCTTCACCTTTTGTTCTAATTAAGGTTTGGAATGCGCAACATCAATCCACGGGCTTAAATTCTGCCTCTTAATTTGTCACATCATTTAATTAATAACTAATTACAAGTGTTTCCTTTACTAACTCCTTTACTAATTTTCACCATTATTATTGTGTGCAATTCCAGGTAGCTGGTTATGGAACATTTCTAGCTACATCGCTTAACTTGCCATCACAAACAAAGGCTTTGACACAAGTATACATAGGAATTACCGGGAGGAAACTCTTGCAGGTTTGATTGGTGACTAATTAATCACATTTTTGTATATTAATCAGAGTACTAATTAGGGTTAATACTAGGGTACCCTATAAATGCAGGAACACTCAATGGAACATAGTGCTTTCGGGCAATGGTTGGGGTGGCTAATGGCTGCTATATACATGGGCGGTCGACTCCCTCAGATTTGGTTAAATGTATGTACCTATTTGTTTTGTTTACATCCTCTTACTATACCATTATTGTTAGGTAAAATCTTGTTTGATTCTCTGTTAAATCATCAGATAGGAAGAAGCAACATAAATATATAGTAAGGAGAGATCTTTTCTCAATTAGTATTATTTTAATCACTCATATCTCTGTCACTTTCAAAGTTTCATTTCTAATTCCCTGTTTACGATTTTGTTTGGAGGTTTTCTAACTTAATTACTGTGTGATTTACATTGGCCAGATTAAAAGAGGAACTGTGGAGGTAATCATTTTATCCTTTGCTTGCTTTCAAATCATAATATTTTAGAGAGATTCATTATTATACCTAATATAATTAAGAGCCCAAATTATTTAAAAAAACCCTATATAAAATGGATATTAGAAACACACCCAAAATCCATTTACAATAAAACAAAAAGGCTTTTAACTTCTTTTAAATTACAAAACTGCCATTGATTTCTTAAAATAAACTCAACCCCAAAACCTTATAAAAAATAATCAAAATTAAATTTAATGGGACTAACTGTCATTTTTTGGGTTTGTTTATAGAAATTAAATG